CCCTGTTGCTGTGTGTGATCCTAGCTGCATCTGATTTTAGCTACCTCAATTAACAAATAATTATATTTTTATTAAATATAGTTTTAAATAACGTGTAACTGATGTTTCTATCCACAAATACTGATTGTATTGGCAGTGTAACTCATGACTTTGCTTTTGTTTCTCTTCATACAAATGTTTCCCATGTGGTTAGGTCTGGCCTTTGCTGGAGGTTATTTTTAGGATGATTTCATTCTCTTGATTTTAAGTGCGCTATAGACTTCTGAAACTTCTTTTGGTGCGCAAAGCCAGCACTACACACAGTTTATAAATGAGGCAGTTTGAAACCTGTTGACCCAGTCAGCCGCATGCTGGCATGACGCAGCTGTAACCTTAGTTTCAAAACCTAAAGTGGGAAGTCAAGGAGGTGTAGGCTCCAAATGCAATGCCTGAGCTACGGGTTTTGATGTTGTGTTTAAAATACCGTTCTGATGGCCACCTCCGATGTTGGCCAGAGATGAATCCCTGAGGCCTACAATATACTAGATGTTTGGGGTTACTGAAGACGAAGAGCATTTTTTCTTAGCTTGCTGTATGGGTGACGAAGCAGAAACTCTCATGGATCAACGCTGCCCTTAGATTTCTCTTTGAATGTCTAGCTGTTCTCTGAGGTGGAGGCTGCAAGGAAGATCTCTGCAGCTGGTGTGGACACAGTGAAACCGGCAGCTGTGCCGTGAGGTTGTGGCTGTCAGGCAGGTGCTGTATTGGGTGTCATCCACTGACTTCTCATCCTTACCCTCCTCCTCTAAGGAGCAGAGCAGATGCAAGATGAGCCAGGTGGTGCTTTCCTGAGAAATGAGAGTTACAAGCTCATCCATGCCGTTAGCAGGGCTCTAGCCAGACTTTGGCAGCTGCTTGTGATGTCTAGGATGATTCTTGCTCTTGCCCTCGTTTCTTTTTGCAGCTTGCCATGAGGCAGCAGCACCCTTGATAGTGACCCGATGGCCGAGTCTGCAGGCCTTGCCAAAACAGGACAGCTGCCGTGCCGTTAACATGCTTTCCTCAGCTCGAGCCACGCAGTCGTATACCATGGACACGTAACCACGTGTTAGGCCATGGCGTAACCATCGACAGCGAGGAGAACTCGAGTATTTCTCTGAGATCAGATTACTAGGCACCCTTTCGTGTATACCAGCAACTGCCTTGCAGAGCCTTCGCACGCTGCAGTAGCTGTGCTTCAGGCAGCGTGGCTGGCTGGCCGGCGTGGTAGCTGCCGCCTTGTAGTAGCAGATCATTACAGGATTAATTGCAACGTTAGCTGTATTGCTTTGATAGCGCAGGTGGTGTTGCCATGTGCCTGGTAAGAGGCATATTGAAGTAGGGGAAAACACTCGCTGCGGATCAGGTCTGTACGTCCCAGTTGCGTTGCTGCTCTCCTTGTTCTTCCCTTCTTTCCTTCTGCCACTCTCACCTTCCCTTACTGTCTCACAAGGTAAGCGTGATGTGAGACACCACATCGGCGACGTTGTGGTTTTGGGAACCTTTTCTGGCACATTGGGAGGTCAGAAACGGCAACCTTCAGTTTACTGAAAAGTGTCTGAGTTTGCTGTTTGGAAGAAGGTCCGAGCAGCGCTGCAGGGTTTGTGTGGGAGAGGGGCCTCTTGTCCCAGGAGCGGTCAGAGGCATTGGGTTTTAGGAGAGTGCAAGCCCTGCAAGAGCACACATAACTGCTGCAGGTGCAGGGAACTGTTGTACGTCTGGCAGAGCATGTACTGTACTGGCTTTTACGTTTTTACTTCTATTCCTAAACACTTTTTCAGTAAATCTGCAGATCCAGATACAGGAGATCTAAAGCTCCCACCAACAGTGTATTTTATTTTTTTTTCCCCCTGGTTCCATCTTGTGTATGCGTTTAAAATTGTCCATGTAAACCAGTGTGGGTTTTGTTCTTCCAACTTGCAGACTTAGGCCTGGAGATGGAGTTCAGTGCCTGGCGCACAATCTTACTACAGTAAAAAAAGTGAAGAGGTGGCCTGACCAGCAGCTGTGTGTGGATAGCCCTGAGCATTTGCCTTGGTTTGTGAGGATGTCTGTGTTGATTCACCCAAGCTCCACTAAACTACATTCCTAACTTCTGACTGATGGCAGTGGTGTTGGCAGGTTTTCAGGTTGTTAGTCTCCTCTGACTAGATGTTGATGCTCTTGCTTGCAACCCTGAAATTTTGTGTCTATCTTGCACATCTGTTATTAATTGACTGTATTTTTGCCTGATACTGGATGCCTACTCTTGTAGCCGGTATGATGAAAGAGTAGCTACTCCAGGGTTCCTGCTGTGAGGTTTAAGTAGATAGTGGTGTTGCCTGTCACTCTAGTAAAACATGACAGGTAAAGTATGGTGAGATGTGATGTGACTCAGTATGAGAACGTTTTGGATAGGGTACAAGTTTGAAACGCGGTACAGGCGTGCTCTTTTGGAAGTTGCAGTAACTGGGGGGGGGTGGGGGGGTCATGTTTTCCTGTTGTCCTGGAGTAGTCACATAATTATTTTTTTTTTCTTTTATAAAGCAAAAGCTGGCAGGCTGACAAACGGGCAGCTTACAGGACGGACTCTCTGGCTACTGACCATTTAGCTGGTAAGTTCTGATTTTTGGAGAGCCAAAGATCTTGCTGTTGCTGAGCTTGCTTGTCATAATGGCTTTCTTAGTGTATCCCTAAGTCAGCAGGAGTTCAGGCACCTAAATAAGTCTTTTTCAGGAAGAGACAGCATCCTGGGCCCTTTTTGTTTTCTCTCCAGGGTTACACAATGGTCTTGGACTGACTATCCAGACCTTCGGATACTCATTTAAAAGTGGCACACCGTTAATAACTGATAGATTAATTAGAGTATGCTTTAACAACTTCTGGTGTCCCCCTTTCCCATGACCTTCTTAGGTTGGACATCCTCTGCCGCCTTAATGGGGGGCTCTGGTTTTGGTGACCACCATGCTGTGAGGAACCATCCCCCCTGGGTTCCTGTCTGGTTCAGCAAGAGAACTGAGCAGCTGACTGGCACTGGGGGTGCTTTTCGAGAAGCTGACTGGAAAAGTGCTCAGTAACACATACTTTGTCTTCCTGGAGTGACTTTTGTGGATCTTGAATGGTGTTGGTAATATTGTTGCCACCTCTGTCTCTTCCAGTGGCATACCCGGATTGTGTGTGGGTGGGAAGTCGACAATGAGCTCCGTGGCAGTTTTGACCCAGGAGAGCTTCGCTGAACACCGCAGCGGCCTGGCTCAGCAGCAGGTGAAAGGTGAGAAAACACAGTTGAGTTCCTGTGATGTGCCTCTGAATACAGACTGCACAGGCAAGGTTCCTTGCTGTTACCCAAGCTTGCTCCATCCGTCTGGTTCCCCTCAAGTGTGCAGACATTGCATCCTCCATTCCTGGATTGTTGACCCACCAAACTCTGCCTTTCTACCAACAGCAGCACAGTGTTGATGCTGCACAGTGTAGGGCCAGGAGGAGGCAAGCCTCAGATCTTCACGGAGCCCTGGCTAGCAACGCTGTCAGCCGTGGGATGGGGCACGTGCAAGAGTGGGACATCGGGCTACAAGAGAGCCTCATGGGATCAGTGTGCTGGGCTGGCCTTTCCTTCCTTTGCTCAGCCAGGTGCTCGGGAAAGTCAGTATAACCGTATTAACTGACTCACTGATGGGTTTCGGCACCCATCCTCCAGCTACGAGCTGGCCCACTTGACACAGCCCAGTGCATAACTGAGTTGAACATAAGGTACAGGCTTTCTCTGGACTCTGCCCTAACTGTAGTGCTTCTCTCTGCCTTCCTCCTGGGTGTATGTTTCTTTTATCCCCTTCTGACCTGCAGCCTTGCTCTGTTCCTTTCACTTCTTTCTGCTCATCCTGTTCTCCCCTAATTAAGCCCCTCTTGACAAATTTGGCCGTAATATGCTGTTTGCTGCCACCATTCACTTGCACGTTCACTTCCTGCGTCCGCCATGCCAGTTCAGACAAGGCTGCTTGTTCATGGCATCTACTGCGGTCTGTGCTGGGCTGAGGTCAGTTGTGCTCCAGACTTGGCTGCTCCACAAGCATAACTGTAATAGGATTAATAGTGGTGCACAAGCCATTTGTTCTCCCTTGTTAGTGGTGCCTAAATACAATTGCACTGCCTATGAATAAGGGCATTTCTGTGGGGACAGCATCTCATTCACCCTGTTTGCTTCACCCCAGTTACAGCTTTAAACTCTGAAGAAGAGAATGATCCTCCAACCTACAAGGAAGCCTTCCCTCCGCTCCCTGAGAAAGCACCATGTTTGGAAGCTGCCCAGGAACCTGCTGGGCCCTGGAGCAAAATCCGACCAATAAAGGCTTCTGTCATCACTCAGGTTGGTGGGAGTGGGTGTCTTATCTCCCTGCTTTTCCTCCCTCCAAAAACTGGGTGAAGTGAAGCTTTCCCTGGAGTATGAAATCTTGTGTGTCAGATTGACAGCCTCTCTGCTGTACTTTACCCTGGGGCACGAGGAGGACTGCAGCTGAGAGCTAGGACTGCTAGAGAGGGGAGGAATGTGTTGGAAAACCATCCAGAAAAAGCTCTGCATCCCTGTTCCACAAATAGCTGGAGTAGGCCTGAAGGGAGAATTGCAGTATTCAAGTAGTGAGTGCTAATCTCTTAAAGTCCTCCCCTCATAGCATGTACTTTAGGAAGACGCCCAGTGTGGGACAGACTGCCTGATGCAGTGCTCTCGCACTTTCCCTGGTCACAGCTGGTGTCTCCACTGGAAGGGCTGGTGGGTTGCACAAATCGAGGAACTTAGTCAGCAATGTGCACTCGCAGCTCAGAAGGCGAACCGCATCCTGGGCTGCATCAAGAGAAGTGTGGCCAGCAGGTCGAGGGAGGTAATTCTGCCCCTCTACTCCGCTCTGGTGAGACCCCACCTGGAGTATTGCATCCAGCTCTAGAGCCCTCAGCACAGGAAAGACATGGACTGTTGGAGAAGGTCCAGAGGAGGGCAACGAAAATGATCCGAGGGCTGGAGCACCTCTCCTATGAGGACAGTCTGAGAGAGTTGGGGTTGTTCAGCCTGGAGAAGAGGAGGCTTTGAGGTGACCTCATTGCAGCCTTCCAATACCTGAAGGGGGCCTATATGAGAGATGGGGACAGAGTTTTTAGCAGGGTCTGCTGTGACAGGACAAGGGGTAATGGTTTTAAACTAAAAGAGGGTAGATTTAGACTTGACATAAGGAAAAAATTTTTTACAAGGAGGGTGGTGAAGCACTGGAACAGGTTGCCCAGAGAGGTGGTGGAAGCCCCATCCCTGGAGGCATTCAAGGTCAGGCTGGATGGGACTCTGAGCAACCTTATCTAGTTGGAGATGTCCCTGCTTACTGCAGGGAGGTTGGACTAGATGACCTCTAAAGGTCCCTTCCAGCCCAAATGATTCTATGATTCTATGATTAGTGTGCCACTGAAGTCCTGTGTGGCAATAAGAGCAAGGCGCTGGCAATCAAAAAACATACTTACTGCTTGCTGTGCCCTTCTTTTATCTGTCCTGTGGCTGAGCAGGTGTTTCATGTGCCACTGGAGGAGAGGAAATACAAGGACATGAATCAGTTTGGAGAAGGCGAGCAGGCCAAGATCTGCCTTGACATCATGCAGAAGACAGGAGCTCACCTGGAGCTGTCTCTCGCAAAGGACCAGGGCCTTTCAATCATGGTCTCTGGCAAGCTGGAAGCGGTCATGAAGGCTCGGAAGGAGATTGTCGCTCGGCTGCAGACTCAGGTGAAGGCATCTAACTGTTTCTCGTTTCATCTTTGCTCTTCCCCAAGCTCGAAAATGCTTTGAGACACTTGGGCGTGTGTGCTTATAAGCCAAAGAGGTGTTATTAGATGACTAATTCAGCTTTGCCGTATATTTTCAAAGCACACAATTGGCAATTTGGAATGGAAATGAGGCTTAAAATAGGGTTCAAAGCTAATTACAGGCCATGGTGTTGCACGAAGGGTGGAGTCTGCAATCTCTGAACACTCGAATTGCAAACAGTGACTGTGTGCTGAGGTGCTGGTGCCGGGGGCGGGGTACAGGCCCCTCACTCAAAGCTAGTAGTGTGTGAGAACAGGACTGTCCTTTCTCTGAAGTCCTTCAGAGGAGAACGTGGAGGGATGAGAGAAAGAAAAGTAGAGAAGAGAAAGTCCTGCCAAAAGCTGAAAGCTTCAGGTCGGGGTTCTGGATTGTGTAACTGAAGCCACACTGGTAAGCAGCCACAGCCCCATTGTTTCAGTTGCTTCTCCCTTCAGTCCTCTAGGTTTTGATTTCTTACCTGCGGATTTTTGAGTTCATAATCAAGATGGTAATTCTTGTTAGGATATATCGTAGCCAGGTCTCGTAGCGTGTTTTAAAGTGTAATGTGAAAAGTAGTTAATGCAATAGTTAATACCACGTCTGCTTAGTGCTGTTCGGCCCGTGTGTCATACCCTGCCAGAGGGAAAAGAAAGGGACAAACCCTACATAATGTGCATCTGAAAAAAATAGTTCAGGTCGTACTGCCACAGGTGCATGACACATTGTCCTCAGGTATACCTCCTACTGCCCTGACCCTGGGTCTGAAAGGTGTGTCAGTATTCCCAGCTTCTCCTAGGCTCAGCTGGCTTTAGTACAGGGATGCAGAGTTGAAGAGTCACACCAAACGGATCTTCCCCCCCTCCATTGTAGCTTTAATTTCAAGTGTCTGATTACTGTTAGTAGTTACATATTCACAGACATTGAGAGCATGGTAACAGTCATAAGCTACCTGGTCAGTAAAAACTCAGTAAGAAGGGAAGAACTCAGGAATCCCTGTTACGTACTAGCCCTTTAATTGTAGATTGAGAGAAGCTCTTGGGACCCCTTTTCCAAGAGGGGCCTTCTAGAAGCAGTCCCAGGAGCAGCATGTGCTACACTGAAGACACCTTAGTACTTAGTAGTGGTAGGCATCTCCTAGCTGCCTGCCTGCTGGAATAGGTTTCTGGTGTTGAATTTCTGTTTCCTAGGAGTCAGACTGTGTGCCTTGTTCTTTGTAGCCTCAGTAGCAGATGTCAGAGTTCAGATAGACTCCACCCATGAGCCATCATCTCAGTTACTGTCTGGTACTGCTCTAGTGTCTTACGCTGGAGGATAGGCAGCTCCTTGTCTGTGCCTAAAGGCCTTTGCTAATTCAGACTACTACTCCTGTGCAAACAGAAGGGCTTTGGGGGAACAGTGGGTTTTAGACTGCTGGTACACAGGCGCTGTAGATCAACTGTTGTGGTACAGTATCAGTCCTTGGACAGAGTGTGCTGGGAAGGCATTGTATTTGCTCCTCAGTGGTACCGCTAAGCAGCATCTTAACTTGCTTTCCCTCGTTCTCTTCCTGTGGATCTGCCAGTGCAGGCAAGGGTTCTCACAGATGCTTGGTTCTTGTACTGCAGGCTTCAGCGACAGTTGCCATCCCTAAGGAGCACCACCGTTTTGTCATTGGAAAGAATGGCGAGAAGCTGCAGGACCTGGAACTCAAAACTGCAACCAAAATCCAGATCCCCCGCCCGGATGACCCCAGCAACCAGATCAAGATCACCGGCACTAAAGAAGGGATTGAGAAGGCCCGACACGAGATCCTGCTTATCTCTGCTGAGCAGGTACTTCAGTACTGTGATCTCTCTCATGGCATTAGCTGGACAGCCATTTTGCTTCTCTGTGGTATATTAGATGTTTATAGCCACCATGGCCACAGTCAGTGGCTAATACGTTAGTCTGAACGGAGACATATACCATGCCACTGGCTATATGAGCACCACTACCAGGTTCTGCAACTTCTGGTTCTCCATTTTGTCCACCTCTGAAGTCAGATAAGTGTGTTTCGTATTTGAAGTGAACCATATTAGGTGCCAGGTGAGATAAGGCAGGAGATTACAGAGGCGAATATCGTAAATCAGCAGCAACAGCAGTATTTGTAGATCGAAAGGGATGGAGATCTAAAAGCTTGCAAATTGAAGAGGGTGCTTGGGCCAGAGTGTCAAGCAAGACAGCACTGGGAACTTAGCTCTGTCTAGCAGAGACTATAAAACGGAGGGCAGTTCCCACCGAGGTCTGTTCTGGGCTCTTTCAGGATAAGCGTGCCGTGGAGCGGCTGGACGTGGAGAAAGTGTACCACCCCTTCATTGCTGGCCCTTACAACAAGCTGGTGAGTGAGCTCATGCAGGACACGGGGACGCGCATCAACATTCCTCCACCCAGTGTCAACAAGACAGAGATAGTCTTCACAGGAGAAAAGGAGCAGCTAGCCCAGGCTGTGGCTCGTGTTAAGAAGATCTATGAGGAGAAGGTATGGATGGTCCATAAAGCTTCCCATCTTCCCCCCGTCTGCTCGTAGTCCCTCTTCCCTTGTTCTACTTTTGTGCATCCCTCTGTTGCATCCTCCTCATATCAGCTCTGGCTGAGCAGCCCTTACAGTACACAGCCCTGGATCTTACCATTTCCTCCCTCAGCAGAGTGGAACGTGGAGTGATTCTACTAGTGAGGTGACAGATTTCTCGCTTTTCTGTGTCATGGGATTTAGCAGACCACAAAGAGCTCCCCTGCCTCTTGTTCACACAGGTGCTACTAAGGAAGGAAGCGTGAAATCTACAGTGGTGGCCAGCTGACAGTATCAAAGTTGCTACATAAGTAGAAGTCGCTGAAGAGTGAATTTCACTCCAGTTTATTTTCCACAGCCGACATTGCTGTGAATATCCTTGTTGTAGGTTGTTGGGCTGTTTTTCCTCATGGTTAGGTCTGTATTTGTACCAGGCTGGATTTCAAGAGAGATAATCATCTTATAGCCTACTAGCCTGCGTGCTGTTGCATGACAGTACTGCCTGGGGGACAGCTGGGCGTTGAGCCCTGTTGTGCAAGGATGTGTGTGTATGTGATCTCCTCCATGTAGTGTCCCACGAAGCTTGGCAGAAAATACTAGTTTTGTACTTCACCTGTGAATTTTTGAGCACAAGGCTTTCTGTAGGCAGAGGCCCAAAGGGTGCTAGGGTACTGCAGAACCACTGTGCTCACCTTTGCTTTGCTCTTTCCTGGGTGCAGAGTTACGCTGCGTCTTGTGCCTCTTCCTTTCGCTCTTGTCCTTCCATACCCCCTTGTGATTGATGCCCCAGTGCCTCTGCCCCTGCAGAAAAAGAAGACTACAACCATTGCAGTGGAGGTGAAGAAGTCCCAGCACAAGTATGTCATCGGCCCCAAGGGGAATTCCCTGCAGGAGATCTTGGAGAAAACTGGAGTCTCTGTCGAGATCCCACCCACTGACAGTAGCTCGGAGACGGTGATACTGCGAGGCGAGCCTGAAAAGCTTGGGCAAGCATTGACTGAAGTCTATGCAAAGGTACTGATGAGAGAGGCTAGACCGTCTTTGAAAGTCCCATAAAGATACATCTGTGAGCACTGACAGGCTTAGGGGTGTTGATCTCTGTTGGGCTGTTGGAGATGCAGCTTAAAAGTCAATACTGAGGGTGTAGCATGGGAATTGGAACTGAATTTTTGTAAAGACCTCTTCCAGTCTGTCCATCACACAGCTTCTCTGGTTTTCTGTCTCTCAGGCCAACAGTTTTACCGTCTCCTCGGTCTCTGCCCCCTCTTGGCTTCATCGTTTCATTATTGGAAAGAAAGGACAAAACCTGGCCAAAATAACTCAGCAGATGCCAAAGGTATGGATGAACTAGTTGGCTTAGCACCCTCTGACGTAAAGTACGGTTTAGTCCAGATCGCTCTTTGTAGAAGAGAGAAATGTATTCTAGCATGGGTAAAACCAGGGAGGAAATGACACAGATCTTAACATTAAGGGGAGCCTCTCTTTTACTGCTGCAAACACTACTCATCCTATGTTATTCTTATGGGTTGAGCCCTTCAAAGGAAGCTTTATGTGGTACTATTTTGAGAATTGATGTAGCAGGAAACCTGCAAATACTGACTTCAACAAGGCTTCTGCCTGATGAGTTAGGTGATACCTATAGAAAGGCTAGGTAACTTCTCCAAAGCCCTTGCAGACTTCAGGACAGCACCAAAGCCTTGGGCTCTAGACATTGTGATATGTCCAGAATTATGCGTTACCTACTTCTGAAACTGTGGGAATGATGTGTGTATTCTGTGGGAAGGAAACCATCTCTTAGTGGCAGGGATTGATGGTGTAGGCCAGACTAACAGCTTTGACCTGGCTTGTATCTTGGAAAATATCTTGTTGCTTTGTGTCTCAAGGTTCACATCGAATTCACTGAAGGAGAGGATAAAATCACTTTGGAAGGACCTACAGAAGATGTGAATGTGGCTCAGGAACAGATTGAAGTCATGGTCAAGGATCTGGTAAGTTGGTGTTACTAGTTCCGGTACATAAGAAGAAAGTGAGGGAAGAAGGGGCAACAAAGCAGAGATGATGAGGTGTGCAGCACATCCATATGATGTCTTGACATGCTTAACAGAACTTGCAGTAGACAAGTTGTGTGGCAGATGGATGAAACCCTTGGTTATGAAGCTCGTCCATAGCAGTCTTAAAAAAAATCAACAGCAGGTCTTAAATCTTTTGATGCAGAGAAGGAAGGATTCTCTTTCAGTTGTAGCCAGAGAGGCATATAAGTTCCTTTAAATGTTTCACAAGTGTGGTGCTCTTGGCTCAAACCAGAGGAGTGCTTCTGCTCTGCTTAATAGCAGGAGGAGTGCTTGTAGCAGACTGCTGGAGTGTCGGTGCCAGTACTGGCGGTAGGCAGTTACTTACAGCACGAGACAGAAGTGGTGGCCTACCCTACCTAGCCCTGTACAATTCTTTGTAGATCATCCGGATGGATTATGCAGAAATCAACGTTGACCACAAATTCCACCGACACCTCATTGGCAAGAATGGAGCTAACAGTAAGTGGGGTCCCTCTCTAATCCTTCCTATGCTTGGACTCTCTGTGTTCAGTAGATCGTATCAGGGGCTCTGTAGCTCATCCAGTGTGCTGTCTCCATCACGTTTCCCCTGGTCTTCTGGAGTGGTATTGGCACAAGGAGATAAACGGGCAGTGAGGCCTTGAGATGGCTTTAATATGTGCAAGTGTCATGGGAGACTGAACAGTGGTGGGATTACTTTGCCATGTCCTGGAGGAATTTATTTTTTTGTTCTTGTTGGAGAATTTTTTTTTCTTTGAAGTTGCTCTATGTGAATTACATTTTAGCAGCCGATTGGGGGATGGTGAGTTTCCCCCCTACCACCAAAAGAATTTGGGATTAGAAAAGAATGATCATCTTCTGATCTATGTGTGGTGCTGTTTGGGGAAGAAACAGATGCCTCACTCTGGCAAGCGAACAGTTGGCTCTGTAGCTGCCACAGTATTTACTTGTACAGATTCTTGTGTGGCAGATTTGCTCTCGCTGAACTCCAGGGTGAAGAGACACTTTCCCCTGTTTCAACCCCACATCACTGGCCCGTTCTCAGGGGCTGGTTTACTTCCTAAACAGCCTCTAAGCAGTGATAATCAAGGTGCCTTGCTTCCAAGTCTTGGCCTAGCAGACTGTGTCACCACAGTCCTTGCCTTGAAGTTAACAGGATTAAGGACCTCTACAAGGTGTCTGTGCGCATTCCCCCGGACAATGAGAAGAGCAACCTGATCAGAATTGAAGGAGACCCACAGGGGGTCCAACAGGCCAAGAAAGAGCTGCTGGAACTCGCTTCCCGTATGGTGAGTAGGATGTGATGCTTGGGAGGCCACAGGGTTCGGGCTTTTACATTCCCTCATAACCTTCTGGTGAAGGTGTGTGCCCCTTGCCCATCAAGCAATTAGATCTCATGACAAGTGTGAGTTCCTCTTCACAGATGTATTCCTCTATTCCCTTGGATACCCCTTCTCTATCAACCTAGAGTGAATTTTGTCTAGAGGAGAAAAGAGGGACAATGTTGGCAAGTAAACTGTCAGGCAGCAAACTGGTAAATAAAAGTACATGGCTCTCCTGCTGA